GGGGCAGGGAGAAGGGGGGGGGGAGAGGGGGAGAACAGCCAGTAGCGTCTCTCGCAACCGGATGGCTCCGATCTTTTTCGCGCAGGTCGGCGTGTTTGTTTCCTACGTATAAGTGAGATACAGATAAGATGTACGCGTATCTCTTACCTCAATGTTATTAATGGGCGCCCATCCGTCGCTTCCGCGAATTCGGCTTTCTCGATTTCAGCCAGCCGTTCGCCGCGAGGTTCGCGACAACAAGAACGATCATCCGTGCACGCAATCGTAACACGTGTTACGGTGGCGGCAGCGTGTGATGTAATACCGTTCCTGTTTCCGGCGATTCAGGACGCGCTTCTCCATCTCGTCATCTCTCGTTGACCTCTGCAAAGGTAACGAGTCTGGAGTGAGAACGCTGTCTGCATGTACACAAAAATAATTTCAATGTTATTTTTAGCAACTCTCAAGAATTTGTAAACAGCTTAAAATTTATCAGATATCAGATTTGATTGTAAACGTTATTATTAGCGTTTCAATCGTCCAACGTGTGAATTAACTTCTAAAATAAAATTAACGACACATTTATAAATACACTTTCAATTGCTCCAATTAAGAAAAAAATAAACAGAAAATCGCCTCACACAATCAGTATAGTGCATCAAAATATATCATACGCACTGCGTGCTCGCGTTCAGATGTCAATGTCGTCTGTATGGGCTAATCGAATTGAAGAAAGAATTGCGATATCTTACGCAGTATCGCTCGATACCGGATGAGGTGTATAAATCAAATCGTCGCAGAGAAGGAAAACGGGACTCCAGGGATCCACGCGCGGCCTCGTCGGAACTGCCGGAGCGGCCGATAACGCCGATGTTGGCCGAGCGGCGCGCACGGCGCGCGCTCGCGTCGTTCCGCCAGTTCCACGACCGCGGCCGAAGATCGCCGAGGCGCCGTGCACCCGGGACGGCCGGACGGTTACGTTCGCGTACGTTCGCTCGCCCGCTCGCAGTTGTCAGCTGCACAATGGCGACGTTGGTCTGTGCTCGCTTGTCCTGCTGCCGCCGTCGTTTCTGAGCGGTGGGCCGGCCCACAAACGTTGGACCGTCCGTTGCGCGGTTTACCACCACGAGTCTCTCCTCTCGCGCACGCTCTCTCTCCCTTTGTCTCTCTCGCTCTTGCTCTTTAAACGCCTCCGTCGCGGGGACCCCAAGTCTCGACGACCGCGTTTCGGGAACGAAAGCAGCGAACCGACGCGTCGCGTCTGCCGTCGTCGACGTGACGCAGCAGCCGACGAAGAAGTGAGCCAAGAAGAGAAGGAAGAAGAGGAAGAAGAGGACTCTCCGAGGCCGATCGCGGCAATTGCGCTCGATCTGCACACATCCCTCGCGGTGCCGCTCGCGGACGTCCAATCGTCTTAACCACCTTACCTACCCCACCGATTCAGGAACGACGTACGGCGACAAGTTACGAAGGAAAAAACCACGAAGGTAAAGTCTTTATCTTCGCGCGTCGACGGAAAAAAAAAAGAATGCTCCGACCGCGCGGGGCCGGGGGGGGGGGTGACGAGGAGGGGGAGTAGGTCGAGCGCGTGTGTGCAACCTACCCCTGACTCGCAGGAAACGCCGCTATCGACCGTGGAATACTACGGGGGATGCCTTCGCGTTTCGTGGGGTGGAAACGACGAACGAGTTGCGCGACATCTCTCCTCCCCCCCCCTCTCTAAGTGCCTATGTGTATACGTCGTTGTCTCTAGCCGCCGCCGCCGCCGCCGCTCGTGTATGAACGATGTCGCGCGACTCCAGTGCAAAGTGCAGTGCCTTATTGCAATCGACGCTACTATCGCGAACGTCGTTCGCCTCCGGCGGCGTATCTGCCATGCCCGACCGATCTGACCCGCCCGCTCGCGCGGCTCGTTTGAAATCCTCTTACCGCGCGAGACCGACGAGAGAGACGCGAGAGACTCTCTCACGATCGCAGTTTTCGTCGCCACGGACCAACCACGGGCGACTGGTGCACTCTCGACGTTAAACGCGCGCGGTCGCGTTCCCGTCGTCGCGCTTACTTTCGCGCGTGTCCGCGGTATATCGAGGAGCCAATTCGAAATGACGGAACACCGCAACACACGCGGTTCCAGCTCCCGAGAAAGTATATTTAATCGGAGCAATTAAAACGCGGAGTAATTGAGCGAAGATAAAGAGAGAAAAAAAAAAGCGCGCGCGTCACTTATCAAAATTGGATAACTGGGTCGATTAATGCCGCGGTTATTAATTGAAATTTATATACTAATTTATATTTAATTTACCACTTCGGGGCCACTTATCGCACTTCCGGAAAACGTCGACCGTAGGTCGAAAGCTGATGTCATGCTCTTCTTGAATTTCATAATGATTCTACAAATAATGGAAACGTAATCGCTTCCTGATAAAGACCGGCTCGGAGGTACAGTGATGTCATTGGGAGAACGGGAGAAATTCCTGCCGGGGGAAATCGAACTCTCGAGTGACGCGTTCGTTTGAAATTTTGCTCCCGTTGCATCGGAGACGGAGGCTCTCTTTCGAGGCACTCGCGAGAAAATCACCGGCGTTTCGGTCGAGTCTCTTTTCAGCCCGACGTTTGAAAATATTTGACTGCCGATCACCTTTCGCGCGCGCGCGCGTCCGTCGCACGCACCGGGCGCAACGCTTTTTCCTTCGCTCCCGTTGTTTATTTCCACTGATTGTGAGTCAGCGTGCGCTCGCACTGAATGAGCGTATTTACGTTGAATGAGCGATTTGACGCGGGCACTAAAACCGGTACGCGATCTCGCAGCGAGTTTACATTTTCCTCCCTCCCTCCCCCCCCTCCCCCCAAGCCGTGTGTGTGCCGCCACCGGCGATACGCAAATAAACTTGTTTGTTCCCGACAAAGGGAACGCGACAGTCTTTCCCAATCTTCGACACCGGAAGTTGTGCTCCGCTCATGTAGCGGACGTATACAGCGGTTTCTCTCGATCCACACGATCGCGGATGCTGCGACGGGTGGGAGGGAGGGAGGGAGGGAGGAGATTTCGCGGCGGGATCATCGCCGCGCCGGCTCGACGGCGACGCGCGGTCATTTTTACAATGTAAACGGGAGCGCGGCGAGGCTGTTAGGCAATTTACATATTTCGCGAGCTTGCGTCACGTACGGTTGCGCGCTATTAATGCAAACGGTGCCCGCAATATCGCTCCTCGCGCGAGCGCGCGACGATCGTGGAATTCTCCGCCATTTTGACCTTACCGAAGGATATCTGGTATCTCGTGTAGCCGTATGTGTGCACGTACGTGTGCGGCGCGCGTGCAACGGCCGTTTGTGTGGGTCGGCTGGTAATATCGCGGGTATCGTTTCGACACACGCGGCGACGGCGATGGCGATGGCGATGACGATGGCGGCGACGGCGGCGGCGGCGGCGAACGCAACACTTTACTAATTCCGAGCTCGCGATTTCGTCAGATATACGCGCGTTTCATTTAGGGGGAACGCGCGGGAAAGGGGCGGGAAAGACCTCGACAGTGCCCCGAGGAGTTCGCGCACCTGCCGGCTAAATCGTCTCTCACGAGACCGTCTCGAACATGCCGCGCGCTCGGCGGCTTCAATTCTCTCGCGATTTTATCGCGGAGTCTTTTTAAATTCCGCCGTATAAGAGAGCGGCTTATCTTTTGCATTTCGTTCTTTTTTTTGGTTTTTTTTTTGAAAATTACATTTTTGCTGTAGAGATTTTTATCGATCGTTTATAAGGGCCAGAAGAATGTAGGACTCCTGACGCAATGGAGTAGAGTATATAAAAGGTATTACGCGATACTCTTACTTCATATCGAAAGACACACGTGTGTGGTGAGGGCGAAATACGTTGCGGGAGGGGAAAAAAGCTGCAGAAAAGGTCAGCGCCGTTACCTCTATTCATGCATAACGAATTTGATTTCGTGTAGCTTAACATACACAATAACGATTACGTCATTTCCTTCGAAGGAAATGACGTGAAATCTTTACTGTGTATCAATCTTTATCGCGCATTATCGATCGTATCGATATTTTCTGTAACAGCTCTCACGCGCACTCTCTTTTTATGATAGATGCAAGATCGCCTTGGTTCGTTTTCGGCCGCCACCTGCGATTCCGGTTTGGCGCGCGTGGATTTCAAATGCACGTTTTTTTTTTATTTCGCCGGTCTCGGCGCCGCCTGCCCGAGGTTGAAATGCGAAATTGGTAAATACCATTTTGTAACCCCGTTAACTCTGTCTCTCTCCGTCGTTTCGATTCCGCTTCAACGGGCGCGCGATACAAAGATTATCAGTCCAGCCTTTTCGAAATACTCGGCGATAGCCGGGCCGCTTCAAGGAAACAGGTCGGGCTTGCCGGACGCGTCGCTGTGTTGCGCGCGTGTTGGGTCATCGTCGCACGCTGATATCCGAATGCTCCCTCAATCCGGAGTCCGGGCACGTTCACCTGCCGATACGGCGGTGACCTCGCGAATATCGCGGCATCCACGTGATCGTAGATAACGGCGGCCGCTTTCCGCCTCCTCGAGGAGAGCCCTCGGGCGGCGATAAAGCCGATATTACCTCGTCATCTCGTTTCGTATCGCGCGACGAAGAGGAAACGGCGAAGGATGGGTGGAAACGGCGGCTGAGGAGGAGAAGGGGGGGAGAGATGAGGAGGAGATGGCGGTGGTGGAGGCAGGGAGATCGCGTTGCTGTGCATGCACAGCCCTGATCTTTGGAGCGAGGAGACCCAACGTTGTTGCGTTGGCGTTGCCGACTTTTGCGCAAGTGCGTAGATATCGTAATGGAGGAGGCCGCGAAGAGTATCGCCAGTCAGCATCTGCGGCGCGAGTGATATATGATTTTCAAACGATACGATACAAAACGCGGCACGTAAACAGGCGACGTTGAGCAATATCATTCGTTAAAATTGTCTGAGGAGAGACAGCTATTCTCGCCCGATCGCCCAAGGTTGACCGTCACAAAAAAAAAATCCGGAATGTAGGCCGGCTGAGAATAGCGTGTGAATCTTAGGGATTATAATGCCGGACATCCGTCCAAAAGTTTCCTCCTCGCGGAAACGGTAAAAAAGTGCTGTAACGTATAACAGTTTTTGCGTCACTTGCGAACGGCAATTTTTAATTTGCTTCACACGTAGATAACTTAAATTAAGTTAAATTTACGCCCACCCTCAATTTATCTCGCCTCTTGCACTTCGATATCTCTCTTCGTGTCATCATCAATCTTAATTTCGCGTAATCAAGATCGATATAATATTCCGCGGAAAACTGATCTTTTTGTTAACCCATTTCAGCAGAAATACTGATCTTCATAACCGACCTTGTCGCTCGTTACTGTGGAGACGTTAATTGTTGCCTCTAATTCGCTATAATTCCTCACGCTGTGAACAAGAACAATGACCGCTTAGCAATCCCAGTTTCTTCTTCAATTAACTAATATCGTCGAGCCAAAATACGTATCGTATATTTGCTGCAGAAAATGAAGTCTAATTATACACGAGCTAAGTTTAATTATTGAAGTAATTGAAGAAGCGAAAAAATAGAGTGGAAAAATATTTTGATATCCCATAAAGAAGTCCGACGTTTTCATTTCTGACGTCGTTGAAGCGACTAACGAGCTTGTAATTTGACGTGGAATCGAATTACTTTTTTTTTTTTCATCGAATTAAAAGAGAAACGACTCTGCTGCGCGACGAAGTCGCATGAAAAATAATCATACGCGCCGGTCGCACGCTTCGAGGAGCTTCCCTCAAGGACATCCGCGCGACATTTGCATATCTTGAATCGGCGACTCTAAACGGTTGTGCGGATGAGAATGTATAATTCGATGAGGAAGAGGGGAGGGGGGCACTAAACACGAAGAGCAACGTCGACTCAGCGAATTGGGAGCGGATTTCGACGTGAAAGATGTATGGATCCACTTTCGTCCGATCGACTTTCCCACGGTCTCACGGCTAACGATCAAATTTGCCACGGTTATAATCGAGCCTCTTCACGAATTCGTAATATCTGAGGGAGAACTGTAGCCTTCGTTACCGTCAAACACAGAAACTCGCGATTTTCTTCACAGCGTCGAGTAAATGTTTATACGCTCGCTCGCACATCCTTCATTTTCAATTGTTTGTTATACTCGACCATCACGTGAGCGTCACGATGATTCGACGAACAACGGGAAAACGCTTTCGAGGTTCTAATAAAAAAGCTGACTTAATGTTTGCTCGCCGTGAAACGGCGATTCCGGGATCGGAATACAAACTCCGGGCGTTTGACCGGCAAACGCGGGAAAAATCGCGCGAACGGGATGAGCGCCGCGTACCCTCTCGGCGCACGCGACTCCTGCACGTTTGATCTGCGAACGCGGTGCGCTCGCTCCTCGCACGCGATGACCACGGATTTCGATGATGCGGCGGACGTGAGTGCATTGTTTTGTAAACATCGTGGATCAATGGCATGTCATCGACACTTATCGGCGGGGGGATGGTAGCGGGAGTGCAGCGGGGGAAAGAGAGGGGTAGCGGGGAAAGGCATTTACCAGCGATAAAATTACGCGCGTGAGTCATCGCGCGTGTGGATCATCGCAGCCCGCTACTATTTCAGGCGGTCTCGAATAAATTCGACCGTACCCCCCCGTCCTGATGATGAGGAGGGGGAGGAGGGATATGCTCCTTTCGCGAGCAATCGCGCCGTTTCGCGTACGTCCACGCGATTATCGCCGCCGCCGTCGCCGCGCCGGTCACGTGTGTATGGATATGTGTGTGCCGCCTCCTCTTTCCGTCCGATCATTCACAAAACCGTCACGTAATTTCCCTCGTCGCTGATTACTTTCGTTCGTCCGGTCCAGTGCCGCGAAGACATATCCGATACCTCGGGACCGAGAGGCCGTCGACGCCCGCGCTCGGTGTATCGGGAGAGTTGCAAAATTTTATCACCGAGATATTTATAAGGGATTAATTTGAGTTTCACTTTTCTGGATGCTCCTCGGCGTAATTTTTGCGTATCACGTGAACAAAGTGAGCGATCGTATAGCGACGTTGACTTTCTCCCGCGACTTCCGGATAAATTAATTTGCATTCGCTTTCTAAATTCATGGAAGACGATTGACGCATCGAGACACGTTAGTCTTGCAAAAATATATATATTTTTGCGCTTATGATGACGCGAGTGACGCGACAGGACGAAACGATCGACGTTCACATCATAAACGCGGCCGCGCTCCGGCCGGAAATTGGCTTGGAGCAGCCGCGAGACTCGCCGCCGTCCCTGTACCCCGGCGAATACCCCTGACCTTACGGAGCTCCCCCCTCCTCCCCCCTCTTCACTCCCTCTCGGCCGCGTAACCGTAGGAATTGCGCACGAGGCGCGGGAATGTCGAAACGTCGTACATTTTGAAATTGTCCGTGAATCATATTTACGGGCTCCTCGTGAACGGAACTATTGTCGTCGTGTCGTCGTCGGTCACATCGGATCGCGCGGGCGTGTGCGTAAAAACGCCGCGCGCGTGGGCGTAATTGTGGTGTAGGTGTGCCATGCCTCTCCTGCTATTTTGGCCAGGGCCACCTGCGCGGATTGCCGGCGATATCTTTTCCTTTTTATAAAACGAAAGGGATGTAGCGCGACGTCCCTCTTTCTCTCTCCGAGAGGAAGAAACGTGACGCAACGCCGCCGGTTTACCGTGATCCGTTATTTCGCATCCACTGGACGCGTTAAACGCAATGCTCGTCAGTTTCATTTTTTTTTCAATATGAAAAATCGCATATTGCAATTCGATTGCAATTGCAAAATATTATATCAGATACACCTGCATTGTATTGCAGACTATTTATATCTTGTTTCATTATACTCCGGATTTAAATTTATAAGAGTATAGCAGCAAACATATATCGAAATAAACTCGTATAACTTTTTGCATTTTGTTTCTAAAACAGTATATGTATAACGCGGACTGTATTCCATAGCTCTCTATGAGATAACCGGCCGCTACTAGAGACAATAGTCGCTACAGCAATCGTTCTTTTCTGCGTTGCAGGATCAGCTTTCGAGAGCGACCGACTGATAACCCAAGAAGATCTCTCTCCGTCCAAGGACCCGGCGCAGCGACACTGCGAAACGACACTGCGCGGGGCCACCGAAAAAGCACAAAGTGATATTTCTTTAACTAATAGTTAACGCGTTAGAGTTTAGAAGGGGGCCGAGACCGTCTCGCGAAACCCCACCCCACCCCCCTACCCGTCTCCGTGCTCTTTGTATATATACAAATGTCGGATACTCGAGCCGCAATATCCAGTGACTGAGTCTGCAAGTGACGCGAAGTGTGTTCAACGCATCTCACTATAATCCCGCGGATCGCGTGGACCAGGACACCTAGGGGGGGGAATTACAAGGACACACGCCGGGGTGTAAACGGCTGCAGCGTTCGAGTGACATACCGGGGTGTGTAAACGTGTGCGTGCGTGTGCGTGCGTCTCCGCTGTGTGTGCGCGCAACATGAGAGTGGCCAGGCAGCATCCACTGCAAGTATCGACCCGCACCAACAATGGCAAGACCTTCTTTGGGACCTTGGTCGGTCTCAACGGTGGTCAGGACGTTGTCCATCAGCAACCGTCACCGCCGCATCATCATCAGCAGCAGCAGCAGCAGCAACAGCAACACCCGACCAGCGACGAGAACAGCGCGGTGGTGCCGCCGAGCTGCGTCTTTCCGAGCTGCGAGTCGGTGCCCACCGACCTTCACGGTAGCCCGACCATACTGGGGGATCGATTCCAGCTACTTGGTCCGGCCGAGGGTAGCGCTCTTTATCGGTGCGTCGACGTGCACAACGATAAGCAGCTCGTCGCCAAGGTCAGTATCGAAATGCCTTCACGAAGGTCGGTTTCTCACTTCTCATCGCTTCGGCGATGAAGATATGGTCTCAAAATCTGTGCACTTCTACGCTTCTATGTAGAAACTATTAGCTAAATATTTGCAATATCTAGCAACTTCTACACGGAGAGAATTTTTTTTTAAATTTACCCTGCAAATCATGTTAATTGTGGGACAATATAGTATTTAGGAAAATTTTACTGTGCACTACAATAAATTTGACAGTAGTAAAATACAGTAAAATTTATTGTAGTGCACAGTAAAATTTGCCTAAATACTATATTGTCCCACAATTAACATGATTTGCAGGGTAAATTAAAAAAAAAATTCTCTCCGTGTATCGACAAATCAGCAGGAGGTATATTTATTCCATAACTTTTAAAAATTATACAATAATGTTTTCCATCGGCACCATCATATTAGCAACATTGTACTCTTAAACGAAACACGCGATAACTTGTAAGATTTATTTTTTATTTTAAGATTTATTTTTTATATTGGTGCTCGTTACAAATATTTGCTTTCCTAACGAGACGCGATTAAAGAGGGTATTTGGATGAAAATTGATATTCCATGCGGCATTGTTATATAATAGCCGCACAAATGGCTAACGCGATAAATAACCGTGGTTTCGCAATACCCGATGGCAATATCACGAATTAGCTTCTTTGCCGTATAATGCGGCACTGGCGCGGCATATAAAGGCGACGACGGCGGCGCGCCATCGCACGTGGATGCATCCGCGGCGCACTGCAGCTGCCGAGTTTCCATCCAACTGCCGTGGCAAGTTATATAATGGAGCATACGGACGTAACGGTTCGCTAATGTTCGGGTCGATCGAAGCCTCCACCGTGAAGCGCTCGTCGTTGCGAGATCGACGACGACGACGACGACGACGACGACGACGCAACCGAGCGGCGTATCTGGGAAACGTTACGTTTACGACTTCCTCGAGGGAAGACTCAATTAATCCTTATCTAGACGGCCTCCTTCCCTAATTGAAGGGAGAGAAAAAAAAGCACGATTTCCGTCGAGATACCCCGCTCAATAGGATACTCGCTCTCGTCCCGCGATTCGAGGTCGAGGCGATTCGAGTACGCCGCCGGGGAGACGTGCATCGAGACGTGATAAAGAAAGAAAAAAAAACCTGTCGGTTTTCTCTCTCTCTCTCTCTCTTAACACGCCGCGTTATTCCGGCAGTTAAACCGGATTCTCCGCAATTCTCTCCGCGCGATTCTTATCGAACGGCGCTCCGACTGGAAGTTTCGCGAAACCGAGCCTCCGCGCGTATCCGGACTTCAAAGGGTTTCGCATCGATAACGGGCGCGAAGAGGCGGACGGACCTCGTTACGTTAGATCAAAGTACGTATGCAAACGTAACGACGTAACACGCGCGCGTGCAAGCCGTTTCCTGTTCCACGGGCGCGTTTATGTTTATTTATGTCTCTATATACTTGCGCCGTATCGGCGACTGCATCTTGGAATTTCGTATCAGCGATCGGGCGGATTTCGACGTTCCGCATTTCGCGCACTTCTCCTCTTCCTTCTCGCTCTCTTTTTTTTCCTTTTTTTTTTTTTTGGTTCCCTACGCAACTCACTCGAGCTGTCATGTAATACGTGTACGCCATGGGGCCAGCATGGGGCCATGTGGACCCTCCTCCTCTCCCCCGCGCCCGTTTTCCATTAACATTTTACAATCGCCGCGCGTTATACAATGAGCCGCTTACATCATCGGCGTTGCGAACAAACACAAGGCTGTGTCACCTCGCCACCCGCCCTCTCTCGCCTCGCACATCCGTCGCATATCGCCGCACACACTGTCCGTTATTCATAATCGCTTCTAAAGCCGCGGCCGTTTAATTTAATTGACGATTACACACGAGAGCGTCGCGCGCTTTCGCAAGCGTGTCCGCATTTTGCGAGCCGCGATTGTGATTTTGGTGGAAAAAAAAGTAGGGGTCACGAGCTATTTCGGAGAACGGAGATCGGGGTCCAGAGGAGTATCAAATTAAAGTCGGCGACTCCTCGATGTAATTCGGGGAGACAAGAACGCGCGTGAATAGAGCGCGTTTATCATTATTTATATTTTTAATCACTATATACAAAACTTCATCGAGAGATGAATTTTAGAAATTTCTCTGTAAGGTAGATAAAAAAAATTGATAATCGATAATTATTTCATACATTATATTGCATTTGATAAATTGCTGGAAATTTAGATGACATTTTGAATAATTCAATTATTAACTATTGGGTTTGTCCCCGGGAAGCTGAGCTTTCTTTTACTTACGTACATCTTCGATTTCATCAAAAACCGCGAACAAGTTTTTGGCGTATTTTTTTAGTTGAAACATTACAAAAGCGGCATACGATGGCCGATCGGGGCGATTTCGTAAAGAATGCACGGTGCTCTTATTAAACTAATGGGACTCGAATGTCGAAACGGTGTCAGGTTTCGACACGAGCCAGAGAGATGAACAGCTGGACGCACAGAGTTTCAAAAGTGATCGACGATTTCGTTCGCCTATATGGTAGTTTTCATAACGCAGAGTTTCTGCGCTGGCACTGATCGACAAAAAGAAGGATTATTTATAAATAAATAACGCATGTATAAATCTGCAGCAATATCGATTAGACTTTTACCCTTTTCTGTAATCTATTTTCCATTTGACATTATATCGCATTACATCGAGGCTTAATTATAATCGAAGTTGTGCCAGATTTGTGGCATAATTATATGTATAAGTGTTTTATGACGCTCTCTCGGCGTCAAATTACTTCGGTATCGATATCTGATACACGTGAATCCAGTTAATTAGAATAATTAGAAGAAAATTGGAGCGGATATAATTTTATCAGCCTCGCACCAGAATTTGATAAAGAAGAACGTATCTTAATAATCGTTATTTAAATGTGAATATCACCTTTTCAAGGATATCCGCTGGAATAATTGAACCTCGTTGAACGTGAGCTAAAATTCACTTCCACTCAAATCAAAATTGAACACAGTCGGTATTGAGTTTTCTCCAGGAACGCTTGTTAAACAGAAAAAGCACCCATCGTTTTTAACTTCCACATGAATATATCCGTTCCAGATATAAAGACTCTTATAAGGAATATTGAACGCAGTACAGTTATGGACACATCGGTTGCAACAC